CATCAAATGTTATGTTGATGCTTTGGCTTGTAGACGACTAACATCCATACTCGATTAAGAGTCGAAACGTATGTGGATTCGTTATCACTTCTGAGGACTAAGATAGAATGTCTCTTTATCAGTAAATACAGTATTCGGTTCTCTACACTCACTATACGAAATACAGCTGCTGTTTATACGCTTGTTCTCGGTGAGAGCGTAGTCCTTCCTCGGTCGAACTAACCCATCCGTGCTGCAAAACCTACGCTGCGGCTATATTATCGCTAGATATTTTCTGGACTATACGTTATACTATATAGGAATCGCTGAATCTTTGGATTCGAGTAACAGATATTACCGACTTGTGTTTTTACTATTCGTTTACTGAATGTACATAACTTTTCACTTGAATCTTGAAAAAACTCTTCTTAACTTTACATGCTGTGATGAGTTCAAAATTTTGCGGCAAATAGTATTATTTCTCTCTCGTAATATAAATCATAAATATGTTTATGCGTGATAAATATTACGAGCGCTATACAATTTTTGTCAAATGGTTCTTGATAAATTGCCCCTGAGTTTCTAAATCACCTGTCACCACTCTTGCTCAGCTAATTAGGGTTATATTTCCTTTTTCGGGATTTTTTTTATATGCGAGCAGCTACGAAAGTCCAACAAGGCTAGTAAAACTGTGACTTGTATTATTTGTTGTGATCGCTGCTATGGCTATGGTTTACCGCGAATCCCTACATTTTTCGAAACAGTAATCAAACATCCTTACCCCTCAACTATCATCGACCTCCTAGCGATGAGTGGCGGAGTGCTAACGCTAGGTGGATGCGTTCAAATATGAATACTGAGTGGCTGATTATCAACGCTGAATAGCCTTATAATGTATAGCTATCATGAGCGGCTCAGAACCCATAACGTATGATAGGATAGGATAATATGATCGTTGGTGTACACACCAAAAGATCTGCGTAAGGGCAAAATATCGGTCTCATTCCATTGTAGACCTGCACAGCAGTACAATGTAATGCAAACTAAAGTCAATAAAATATAACAATAAAATGTTTAAATAAATATTACACACGCAAATGAAAAATAAAATAATTATACCAAAAACACCAATGCGTTAAATACAGAAATGAATTGTATTTAAATACGCCAATTATGTATAAAAATGAAATAACATACTCATGAATAAAATAAATTCAAAACAGTCACATTTCTAAAACTGCACTAAATAAATAACAGTTTACTTAATACAGTTCTATACAAATTAGAAGTATTTCATAATATGACACTATTGTTTGTTAAAGTATGATTTTGCTTGACTTTTTATAAAAAACGGTCACTTTCCAAACAATTGCACTTTTGCATATAATAATTTTCTTGTTTTCTTGAATTGCGACTCCCTTTTTCAAAACTATTGTGCGTTCAAACTGCCAGCCAGGTCGCAACTGACAAAATTGTGGTTTTGTACTAAATTTAGTCGACAATATACAGATATGCAAAAGGAGCGGTCATGTGGTTTGGTAATAATTTAAGCTAAAATTATAAATGTCTTTTTGGCACCATAAAATTTTATCGCATTAGGTTAATTTTCACAATAAAGCGATTTTAATATTTCTTTTATTTGTGGCCCTTTTATATTTAAAAAGTGAGCAAATATCTCCATCATTAGTTAAATATATATTACAGGTGTGTCGTTAGCGCATATTCGAGTGTGTCATGGTGTTATTAATCGTACAATTTAATATTCAATTTGATATTCAATATAATATTTTAAAATAATTGCTATATTTACTTATAACTTCTGTGATGACGTCTGATTATGAATGCAAAAATGCGTTTACCCTGAAACTTACCCATAAAATGCGTTTTCATATCGCCGTGCGTTAAAGCACTGCAACTGTCTGCCTGCGGCGAGACTAATCACATTAGTGGGCGGCGTTCTCCATCTCCACCCTGCGTGTGTTCATTATCATTACAAGTACCGGCATTTGACGGACTCTTTTATGTTTCAAATAGCACGGCGAAATGATGTACAGTAATATTATTTCTTTACAATAATAACATTCGCGCTGAAACACACTTTTTTAATGAAAATTATAATTTATAATATGTAATATAAAATAATTTACAATAATATAATAATAGAGTATTTAACATGTAAAATAAAATCAAAAAATACATATTTATAATAAATTTTGTAAAAAAGTAAATAAATATAATTGATTTCTGTTTATAAAATTGCATTATAAATTTTATATTTCAATTTTAAGAATTTTTTTTTCGTCTGTGCCGCAAATCTGCAAAACGATGTCCACCATATTAGACCATGTCGCGACGTCAATGATCCAGCCCAAGGGTATTACTGTTCTGTGTCACTGATTAAGTGAACTAGCTAACGTGCTGTGTTATTTCGAATTTTTTGAAGTTATCATTACGATTATTAAGTTTTAATCCGAATTTTGTTGAAAAGGCACCATGGAAAACGAATTCGTAAAAAAAGAAGGTACTAACTAATCTACCAAGGATAAATACATTGATGGTGGCAAAAATTTTTGCATGCAATCCCTATTTTTGTTCTGGTAAGTTGAGGAATGTTAAAACATCACTGTTAGTACCTATTACCAACTTTTGTTAATACAAAAACACAATATGAGGTCAGAGTGTATTTTGATAAAACATAGTTTAGTAGCTATCATAGTTTAGTTTATTTATAATTTAATTTAATTACAATCATTAGTTATAATATCTAAGTTAACGTAATTTATTAAAAAAATTGACTTGCGATACCCTTCACCTCATGATGTTTTGTTTTGTCTTAAACGAACATTAAATATAAGTCATACTAACATCAAAATGATCTTCACAGAAGAATAGTCTGGTTTTTGTAGACATTGTATAAGGGTATCTTCTTGTCAGTTTTAAATATATAATATTTGAATACTTGCCACTTGAATCCATTACTTTCTCGGCGTTCTTATGCTCGTATTTTTGCATTCAGGCACAACACAACAATGATTTAGATGATAACTCATTATTTAACATTAAAAGTATCCTATTCCTTTACAAAATCGCCAAAATCGAGGTCAGTGACGTCACGAGTTGAACAGCATGACGGCTAGCGTTTTCAGGAGAAAATTTAAAACCGTAGATTAGTAGAACCGTAGACAAAGTAATTTTATGCATTTTTCGGTTTAAAAAAATTATAGTGGTTTATTATCACTCTAGGATTAATTTAAAACAATTTTTGAAAATGGGTGTAATACCCTATTCCCGCTAAAAAGCACGTTTTTATTAAGAAAAAATAGTTCATTTATATGACGGTTCTTTTATTATCACAAATTTAATAAGAAGATTGATCATCATTATTATTACAGCCTTTCGTCCACTGTTGAATATAGGCGTCCCAAGGAATACCACAAAGAATGGTCGTGAGCAACCTAGATCCAGCGACTTCTTGCATCTCTTACCAGGTCGTCACTCCATCTAGTGGTGGGCCGCACCACACTAGAGAACCCTTCTTCCCCATCAGCTGTCAGTTCTTTAAGCTATATTAGCAGTCCATTGCCACTTCAGCTTGCTTATCCGTTGGGTTGATTTGGTTACTTTTGTTCTACTGCGGATATTCCACAAAACAATAAAATTTCATTGAAGTGAGTAAGGAGTGAAGTAATTCTTATTTTATTTCCCCATTATTTAATTAGATTTTTTTAACAATTATATGCATATAATATGTAATAAATTACATTTAATAGGGTGTTATACATTCTTACAAGCATTCAGTCTTTTTAACGGACGTTTTAGGAATATTCATTGGATTGCGTTTAGGAATAGCCCCATGTCACCCTGTGGGTGTCATAAGAAGCGACAGAAGGAAATTAAACTGAAGACAGACACTCAATAATTATTTTAAATTATTACTAAATTATTATTAAATTACTTATTTTAAATTTAGAAAAAAAACTCACTCGCACAACGTTTTAGGCATTGGATTGCGTTAGGAATAACCACTAACCCCATGTCATCCTTTGGGTATCATAAGAGGCGACAGAAGGAAATTAAACTGAAGACAGGAACTCAAAAATTATTTTAAATTATTACTAAATTATTATTAAATTATTTAATTTAAATTTAGAAAAAAAAACTCACTCACACAACGTTTTTGGCATTGGATTGCGTTAGGAATAACCACTAACCCCAACCAACCTCCTTTGGGTATCATAAGAGGCGACAGAAGGAAATTAAACTGAAGACAGGCACTCAAAAATTATTTTAAATTATTACTAAATTATTATTAAATTATTTATTTTAAATTTAGAAAAAAAAACTCACTCACACAACGTTTTAGGCATTGGATTGCGTTAGGAATAACCACTAACCCCATGTCATCCTGTGGGTATCATAAGAGGCGACAGAAGGAAATTAAACTGAAGACAGGCACTCAAAAATTATTTTAAATTATTATATTATATTAAATTATTTAATTTAAATTTAGAAAAAAAACTCACTCACACAACGTTTTAGGCATTGGATTGCGTTAGGAATAACCACTAACCCCATGTCATCCTGTGGGTATCATAAGAGGCGACAGAAGGAAATTAAACTGAAGACAGGCACTCAAAAATAAAAAATAAATTTCGGTTACCAACCCGTTAGCGAAACGAACAACTACGGCAAATATTTCCCAAGGCAATCCGTGAGGAAGACCTATGTTCAGCATAAAACTTTTGATTGACTGTAGTAGTATACATGTATACTTTTATTCATCATCGTCATCATCATTACAGACTATTAAAGTCCAAAAATGTTTCTTCTTCCTACTTTTTCTATTGAAACAGCAGTGTCAATCAAGTTGGTCTCCTGAATCTAAAAGTAGACGCCCTACCTCCCAGTAAACCCACCCTGCTCTAAAAGCCTCTTAGAAACAAGGCTGTTACGTAACTTTTCATTTACTAAATTGAATATCGTATATCCGCGCTCGTAAATTTTAAAACAAATGTACTTACCGAGACTAATCATATTAGTAGCCACTGCAAGCATAATGTTTCTAACAACGTTTATACGTACGTCTGTACACGTATAGATATGTACCCATAACAAAATCTAAAAGTATAATATAGTGATTGAATTTGTTATAAATTCAATTTTTTTATAAATTAAAATGTTCTGATGATTTAAAATATAAACAAGTTATAAATAGATCTTAAATCTTCAGAAAATTAATATATATGCTGGATGATTTTTTACCGTCTGAAAAAAAAATAGGGTGTAACCACTGACCTCTATGTATACGAGTACGCTGTATATATAGAGGTCAGTGGGTGTAACAGATAAAAGGAATAGAAGCCTATGGCACTGTTTTTTTTTTGCTTTTACTGTATTATTATGAAATTGAACTATTAATTAATATAACTAATCATATTGTTCAAACAACAATAGGCATACAGCTGTAAACTTAATTTTTTATTGTAGTTTAACTCAATATCTATGGACCTGGTAAAAAAATAAAAAGAGTAATCAGGGTTGTTTATGCTGTAATTTGTTTTTTATTGTTATCCTCCGAATAAACCTATTTAATCTACGTAAGACCAAAATTTTAAGATACTTATATGATTTTTACATACGTAGAGAATATGTCATGAAAAAACAAAATGGCTGTCACATATAGAAGGTGATTAGACCTCAGTATGTAGTGTATTTGTGTATTAAATTATTTGTAATATAAGTACCTAGAATATTGCTAGTCCTTGACCGGACACACTGTATATAAATATCACATGTTATTTTGTTTGTCCGCGATGAACTCCTAAACTACTGACTTGATTTCAGTGAAATTTTGCACACTGCAGTTTGGTCCAACTTGAGAGATATTTTACATAGGTTCACCCCGTTAAGTGACTCTCAATTTTTTATCACGAATTTGGGGATTTTTTTATAGGAAAAGTCGTCAGAAAGGACAGAACGACGTCTGCCTGGCTCTTATAACGGTTCTACCAAAAGTTTATTGTAAATTTAAAAAAAAAAGTTAATATTTTTTAATTAAAATTATATTTATCGAGTATAATTATTTCCATAAATATAATAACAAATTGGTTGGCAATTAACAATCATTACAAACTTCCCAGCTTGTTTTGTTAAATATTGTTGTAACAATTGTAACAACTCACATAAAAACAATAAGAATCATATAACTAAAAGTTCCAGAAGTCTTTCCCAAATTTATATATATATATATATATATATATATATATATATATATATATATATATATATATATATATATATATATGGCCGAATACAAAAGACATAATAAAGTACATTATATACAAAATAACTGGATAGCCAAACTCCAACTTCGGATGTAATTAAAAATTAAATAAAGAAAAGTTTCGTTCAAATTAAAATTTCAAATCAAACTTTTTTGCCGGTCGCAAACGATTGTGAAAGAGATCTAAACAGTAAGCATATTTTTCGTAAATAATAAGTATTAATAAGTAATAGTACGTTAATACTATTAAGCTTTTACCTCTTTCCCTGCACAATGATTTCATTAAAACTTGAAACTGACGAAGAAGAAGTTTCCAGACTCATCATGAGCCTAAAAAACAAATGTGCTAATGGATGGGACAATATCTCTAACTGTTTTATAAAAAAAATTAAAGAATATATTGTTGGGCCATTGACATATATATGTAATCTTTGTTTTAATGAAGGTGTATTTCCTCAAGTTTTTAAACGGTCTATTATTCATCCAATTTATAAATCTGGAGACAGAGAAAATGTCGGCAACTATCGACCGATCTCAATTCTTCCATGTTTTTCGAAAATAATTGAACGAATTATAAACAAACAACTCACGAACTACTTAGAATGTAAAAAACTTCTATCCCCTAACCAGTTTGGTTTTCGGCAGGGCAGATCCACTGATGAAGCAGTGAACGACTTAACAGATTACGTAGTTAAAAATTTGGACAAAAATAATAAAGTTATTGGAATATTTTTGGATCTCGCCAAGGCGTTTGACACTGTGTCTACCTGCATTCTAATAGAAAAGTTGGAATTATGTGGTATTAGAGGAAAGCAACTTGCTCTATTTAAAGATTATCTATGTGATAGAACACAATGTACTAAAATCGGAGATTACATTAGTCACGAGGCATTAATTACCTACGGTGTGCCCCAAGGCAGCATTCTAGGTCCCACATTATTTCTCGTCTATATAAACGATCTCACTTCTATTCAGCTTCCTTATGGACATATAATATCATATGCTGATGACACATGCCTTCTTTTTTCTACAAATTCCTGGGAAGCTGTTCAGGATGCTGCCCAGATGGGGCTTGATTTGATGAAAACCAAATATATTGCTTTCACAATACGTAAAGAACGCCTTGATCATATTATCAATAAACCACTGATCTCACACAAATGTCTCTCAAATATTAATATAAAATCATGTAAATGTAACAAAATAGAATTAGTCCATAACATTAAGTATCTTGGTATAATAATAGATTCCAACCTTTCTTTTAAAAATCATATCGAAGTATTATCCAATAGACTATCTAAATTAATATACATATTCAAAAATGTACGCCATGTGCTAGATAAGACAGCTTTAACACGTATCTACTATGCCCTAGCGCAAAGTCTTCTTACTTACTGCATCACCTCGTGGGGCGGTGCTCCTAAAACAAGTATGAAGCGCGTAGAAATATCACAAAGGGCCATTTTAAAAGTTTGCGGATTCTTCTCTTATAGACATCCAACTGAACTTCTTTATCGACACTGGCAGGTACTAACGGTACGTCAGCTGTTTATTCTCTATACCTTGTTGAAGCAACACAGTGGAATTACTTATAATCGCCATAAATTTGTAGGAGTTAGACGTAAAAACACAGTTTGTGCAACATATTCAACAAAGAAGACATATACAAAAAAAATTCTTTTGCTACATGGGTGGATTCTTATACAATAAAATAAATGAAAAGCTATCTATATATTCTAAAAATAAATATGATTGCAAAAAAAACGTACATGATTGGCTACTGAAATTAGATTATGATTTAACGGAATCGCTCCTATCAAGATAAATATAATGTACGCACACACACACACCCAAAATCACAAACACACACACACACACACACACACATGCACGCGTGCGTGCATGCGCAAACTATACACTACACTACACGAACATATAGTACTATACATTCATATATGTATTTATACATTTTATATCATAATACACTCTTAATTAGTATTTTATCATGGATTGTCGCTGTAATTTTAAATAATATAAGAATTCCTTTGTTTATCTATCTATCTATTGTTTTCCTAGAATATTTTCATTCAATGTCATAGCATTCGAGGGGGTGGGAACCTGGTGACTTGTACTACAGGCTTATATATGCCTACTTCAGGCACCAGCTTCTCACATAATAGAATTCTGTATATGTACTACTAGATTTACATTGTTTTACTTTATGTTATGTGAGAGGATAAATAAAGACATTATTATTATTGTGGGGTATCTATATAGTTTTCTCATCTGGTTGGGTTCTATAAATATATAATTATAAATGAGAATGAAAAGATAAATATACATAAATATCAATAACATAAAATAAATATAAAAATACTTAAATAAATAAAAGCCCAACCAGATGGAGGCCCTCGGCAGGGGAGACCAAACGGCCGAGGGTTAGGGGGAAAGGGAAAGAAACCGGCGGACGATGCGGGCGGTATCGAGGAGCACCGCCTTCTGAATTTGAGCCCGGAGCGGTCCGCCACGTAGTCCCAGTCGCCTCAGATGACCCGAGAGGCTGACTGGGATTAGCCCGTTTGCAGAGACGACTACAGGAATAATTTCGGTCGGCAGACCACCCCACATGTCGGTCACCTCGTGAGCCAGGTCCAGATATTTTGTTTGCTTGTCTGTTTCGGCTTTCACGAGGTTCTCGTCATACGGAATGGTAATGTCGACCAAAAATATCCTTGACTGTGCCCGGTCCATCAGCACAATATCAGGCTTATTCGCAAGAATAGTCCTGTCTGTGATGATGGCCCGGTCCCAGTAGAGCCTGGCGCGGTCATTTTCGAGCACGGCTTCCGGCAAGTACTTGTAATACGGCAATTTCCGGTCCACGAGACCATATTTCAGAGCGAGCTCCTGGTGTAGAATTCTGGCTACTAGGTTGTGCCTGTGCAAGTACTCAGAGTTAGAAAGCGCCGAACAACCGGAGATAACATGCCTAAGTGATTCACCGGGATGGCGACAAGCTCGACAGACGTCGACGGTGCCATCCTTTAGGATGTATCTCCGATAGTTGTTGGTCTTAATAACCTGATCCTGTATTGCACAGACAAAACCCTCGGTTTCCCCGAAGAGGTCACCGAAACGTAGCCAGTTGAGGGAGGCGACTGTATCTACGAAGGGCTCATGAAGAGCCCTGTAGTACCTCCCGTGGAGCTCCTTCTCCTTCCATACGGTCTCCCGGTCGGAAATGCTAAGCACTGCTGGGTCCTGCCATTGCTCGTGGGCTAAGGATAGAGGGGTAAGCCCTTTATCACTAGAAATGACGTCATTATAGAATGGATCATCCGATCTCGCCAGGAAGTAATCACGGAGGCTGCACACTTCGCGATTATGCATGGTGAGCGCGCTCATAAAACCACGCCCACCATGCTTTCGCGGCAAGTACAGCCTCATTACCGACGATCTCGGATGATGCATCCTATGGGACGTCATGGTAGTGCGGACTTTTCTATCCAGGGCGTTAAGTTCGGTCTGAGTCCACCTGAGTATGCCAAAGGTATATATGAGGACAGGCATGACCCAACCGTTATATGCGTGTGTCTTATTCACACCGGACAAAAGGCTGTTAAGCACTTTGGTCAAGCGTGCATAAAACACGTCGCAAACTGACTGTTTCACACCAGCCTCATCGATACCGATGTTCTGTGACATACCCAGGTATCGGTATGTTTCAGCCTCGGAAAGGGTCTTTAAGTTGACGGGCATAGATAAATCTATGCCCTCAGAGTTAGCAACCCTTCCCCTTTCAACATGAAGGACCGCACACTTATCCGTCCCCAGCTCCATTCCAATGGAATTGCTAAATTCACAAGTGATGTTTAGCAATTCCATAAGATGGGAGCGACTGGAGGCGAATAACTTGAGGTCATCCATATAGAAAAGGTGGGTCACTTTTGTTCCTCCTTTCCGTAGCTGAAATCCTCTCCCGGAGCCCTCCAGTAAGGTACTGAGAGGGTTCAGAGAGAGGCAGAACCAGATTGGACTCAGACAATCGCCCTGGAAGATACCCCTTCTTATCCTTATGTGGTTCTCCGCAGCCATCATCCGCTCGCCCTGATAACAGAGGATCGTACTCCACTGCCCCATACACTGCTCGAGGAAGTCTCTAACTGTACAGTCAATCTTGTACAGCTCGAGGACCCTCTTTAGCCATGCATGGGGCACCGAGTCGAATGCTTTTCTGTAGTCTATCCAGGCGGCGGAGAAGTTCCGACGGTTGCGTTTTACCACTTTGCCAATGACCGCGTCAATGAGGAGTGGTTCCTTGGTTCCACGACCACCGCCCCGACATCCATTTTGAGCGCGTGACATCACCTTATTTAGCTCCAGGTGACGAGTGATTCTCGCGCTCAAAATGGATGTCAGTGTCTTATATATAGTGGGTAGACACGTGATGGGGCGGTATTTGCTCGGGTCTGTGGTATCCTGATCTTTAGGAACCAAGTGAGTGATCCCAGTAGTGAAGAGGCTCGGGAGCGACTTCTGATCGAGAGCCTCTTGATACTGTCGGGCGAGCACAGCGTGACACACTACGAACCCCTTCAGCCAGTAATGATGCAGTCCGTCGAGCCCCGGACTTTTCCAGTTCGGGGCCCTACGGACCGCCTCAGCCACGTCTTCAGGCGTTATGGTGACGGGGTCCATAGGCGTAACACTTGCACTCCGGCTCGCCACAACTTCCATCCAAGGGCCCTCGCTGTGGTTTACGGGCTCTGACCACAGGCCACGCCAAAATGCGACAGTGTCAGCCTGATCCGGTCCTGGGCCCGCTCCACATACCTCTGGTCGCTCCAATGATTTATAGAGCCTCTTCTGATCACTCTGGAAGAGACGATTTTGGTTGAACCGCCTTGACCTCTCGCTAAATCGTCGAATCCGCTTCCCCCAAGCAGCGATTTTTTGCTTCAGGTCATCTATGCGCTCCGTTAGTTTCTGCGTGATATCCGGCTGGGACAAACTAATATTTGTCCCAGCAAACGCCATTCTAACGGTGCGCACAACTCTCGGTCTAATATTACCCGACCTGAAGCTTGTCAGTCTGCCGATAAGGGCCCTTGCCTTTGCGATACGGTCCTCGATTCTTTTTCTCCAGGCTGGGATGGCACTACCTTGTTGAGTAGCACGTCCAGCCATGGGAAGTTTGGCGCCAATAATACGGCATACTGCCAGTGCGGCGCCAAAAAGAATAGAGTCCGTCTCGCAAAGGTCCCGGCTGGCTTCCAAATAGGTCACCAGCATTGGGTTAAGAGCCCGCACGACAGCCCGATTTCGCTTGCTAAGGGGTATGCGGGGAAGTCGCGGTCGATTTTCGAGAGGCATGCTGCGCGTTTCCAGCATCGACTCTTCCAATATGCTCCTCATTTTCTCTAGTTCGTGGGGGACTATTCCATCATCGTCTGAATCAACTACAAATGGAAATTGACGGCAGCGTCCACATTTGCAGTTTGCTGCGCAATTAGTGGCGCCGCATTCCCAGCCGTAGCATTTCCATCCGATGAGGGAACAGCCTCACGTCGTAGTCGTTCGAGTTCGGCGTCACCAAATATGTTGGAGCGCAGGATGTACCGAACTCGGTCTGCCAGGTTTTGCTCAGTGACGGATAGAGATGGCTCCAGCTCTGCAAAAAAGCGATGCATCCGAGCCCGATATGCCAAACATCCGGTTTCTTCCCCTTTTGCCCTAAAGTACGCCCGCAGTGCGTTTGCGTTCATTGTTTGTGACCAACGCATGCGACGTGCTCCACCAGCGGCGGGTGCCGCTTGCTGAGTCCGAGAAGACCCAGCCGACACCAAGCCTTCTGGTGGGGATGATGGATGCGGAGGGCTGCTAGGTGATCGTACAGCTCCTCGCGCTCGGCTGGCGGCCCGCATGCTGCCGCGTCCAGCGCCAGCTCCAGACGCGCCCCGGCGACCCCCAGGCAGCGGCCCTATGCGCGTTCCTCTTTGTACCATCATCCATTTATGGGCGCCAAATAACGGGAGACGCCCAAGCCCGGCACCGTTTCGTGGTTCGGTCTTATGCACAAACGGACCTTTGCACCCACAATTTTGCCTAGGCACGGCGCTCACACCTCTTGGCAGGGCGCTGACTGACTGCGCCGACGTAGTAGTTTTGTCACATAACTGTTACGTCAGCGGGCGATGGGGTCGTCACTTCCCTACGCCTTTTTATTATTATTATTATTATTATTATTATTATTATTATTATTATTAATAATTATTTTTATTCATTAGGCTGTAGTACCCAGTTGTTCGGGACTGATATGAAAAATAATACATTTACAGAATCATGCGGTTTATCAAGTTTAACGCCATTTTCGCAATTAAAGTTTCCTGAAAATGTTTAGATATTACAGCTTATTTTCGTTAAAATTATATTATTATAAAAATAAACCTTATGACACTGCTGAAATATGTAAGTTCCGTTTAAAAAGATAAAAGTATATTAAAAGCTACCAATATCAATAATTGAAATACGATATTATAGTACCCGAAGTATGATATTAAAACATAAAAAGAATGTCACCTTTTAGTTAACTAGTGTTAAATTAATGACAGTATTTATTGAAGTTATTTATTGTTACTTAGCTCGCACCGGCTAAAACGGTCACGGGAATGCAATCGCAAACATCCACCCTTAGGCAGCTTCGATAGGAGTTAACTCCCTTCTTCATCAGACAAGATGTGCCGTTACATAAGGCATGCCTTCCTACATAGCTTCTATCTCCCCCTGTGGAAGGGAACCCCCTAAACATGTAACGAGGAGGTCATGAGACTAGAAACAACAGCGCTTGGAAGCACTTAACTTCTCGCATCTAACGGTGAAGTTAGTACTCCGTCACTGACCACGTTTCGATCACGGAGAACCAGGGATTCACCACTGAGTTTTTTAAGCTATGCGATTAATCACAAAAAGCCTACAAATTTTATCACGCAAATTATTTGCCTAGAGCCTACTTGCATTTACGTATGAATTCTTTGTAAAATGCAAGAGTTTGAGCTATGCTAAGAAATAATAAATAATGCAGGCTTACAATACAAGTAATCTTAGCGAGCGAAGTTTTTTGGAAGAATTCGTTGTGAAAAAAAAAACCACGTTTAGTTGTATATTTTGTATTATTTTTTTTGTATATTTTGTACGGTTGTGTATGTTTAATATTTACACAAAATTATATAGCGTTAAATATATTAGTCTGTTTATTTAATTTAATACTAGCTGGTACGCGGTGCATTGCAGTTACAGAGAAAATAATGCGGAAATATTGTTTTCAATTTGAAGGAGCTATATTGTTTACTTAGGAATTATATCTTCACTGAAGTTGAATGATATGAAACTTTCAAATAAATGTGTCGGTAGAATACGCGCGCCACTTACTGTAAGTTAATTGTACTACGCCTTATAAACCTTCGCGCAAACGCAAGAGTTGACAAAGTTTTACCGCGATCAGATAAACGGTATGGCAGTTCATAAAATACGAATAAACAAACTTAATTTTTATATATTAGATGGATGCTTTTACAAATTATAAAATTAAAAATTATATACTACTAGCTTGCCGGGCAGACGTTGTTCTGCCCTTTTCGATGACCCTTTGTCATGTATTATTAAAAAAAGAACTTAAAGTCGCAAATAAAATTGTGAGTCACTCATGGGCAAAAAAACTATCCTATATCTCAAGTTGGACCAAACTGCACACGGTGTGCAAAAATTTGATTAAAATTGGTTAAGTGGTTTAGGAGTTCATCGCAGACAAACAACATGACACGTTATTTATACATTATATACTATATAAGATGAATCCCCACAATGTTTACAATATTCATATGTCCGTCGCAACCTCACACGTCGTGGTTGTGTAAGATCGCCATGTAGTTAAGTCTTACGATGATTAGTCTTCTTAGATGATTTAACTCCATGGAAACTGGCCCCCGTGAGCGAAATTCGGTCTGGAGGACACTATAATAATTTTGTGAAAGAACGTTTTCCATAGCCTCGTGTCCGCTATCAACTCCATGTTTACTACACTATAGTTAAGTACAAGTTGAGGTGCATTATTCACAGCCGTCGTATTTGTTTTTGAGGTACCGCCAGTTTATTTTAGTTTGCTCGATTTAACACACGATGTTTTAAATCAAGAAACAAAATTTATTTATACCGTTGGTAACGTGATTTTATTGTATAAAGGTGACAAATAAGCACACATTCCACCTGATGGTAAGTAGATGCTGTAGCCCATAGACATCTATATCTATCTTCAGTTAAGAATCAAAATGTAGATTCATTGTCGTTGTTGAGTTGTTGTCGTATCGTTGAGAAGTTATTTCACAATTACGACACGTTTGTGTCCATAACATATTTCTATAAACTACTAGCTGGTACCCGGCGCGTTGCTGCCGCAGAAGAAATAATTGTAGAAATATCGTTTTAAATTTGGAAAAGTTTTTATTTAATCGGGAATAACAATACATTCATTCAAGTTGAATGATAATAATAGGTCTTTACCTACGAAGTGTCAGGGGCCATTTCAAATTAAAATAATTTTTGTTTGGCTAAGAATTCTAATTTCAATTTTATTTTATTTTAGAAATATTGAAATTTCTTTTGAAAATTAGTAATTCGTTTATTGATTATCGTTATGTTTCATCGCATTTGAATCTTTTTCGTCATCATGAATACGTTAAAAATTGGAGTAAGTATGGAATATGAGTAACGTCACGACAGCAACGCGGCACAAGCGACACGCAACATAAACGACGTTTAGGAGAAAATACTACAAACAAACTCAATCCTGTTATTGATTTGAAAAATAGATTCTACGGCTGAATAAGCAGCAGCTTTTGAAGTTAGCATCACAACAATATTGGTCTATTGATAAAGTAAAAAAGCTTGACAAACGGGTGCCCCACGAACTTGATATCCCCAGCGAAGTGCCTTGCACTGCTCAACAGGCAGAAAAACGAAGGAATTTTGAGCCGGATTGTTACTTGCGACGAAAAATGAATTCTGTTTGACAATCATAGTGCGCAGAAAGTTGGTTGGATTCTGGTTCAGCACCTAAACGATGCCCTAAACGAAAACTTACCCCTAGAAAAATGATGGTGACTGTTTGGTGGTCTATCGCCGGTGCAATACATCACAGCATTTTACCAAATGGGATGAGCATTTTTGCATATGTTTATTGTGAAGAACTTACCACAATAATGGAGGAACTCGTACTTCTCCAACCAGATTTGATCAATCACTCGTCCCCACTGCTCCTGCTCCACATCCATACTCACACACACATACCTCATATTCCGCAACAGACGATGTTACAAGAGCTAAGGTTGGAAACTCTCCGTCATCCACCGTACGCGCCAGACCTTGTGCCTACAGACTTCGACTTTTTTCAGTTTTGGATAACTTTTTGGCGGAAAAAAAATCAATACCCGAGAGATAATACAAAATACCTTTGAAGAATTTGTTACCTCTCGCGTCCAGTTGATTTTTTCAAGAAGGGTATCAATAAACTGCCACTGCGTTAGCAAACATAAATCGATTGCATCGGTGATTACTTTGATTAATAGAAATAAAAGTATTAAAAAATACATTAACTTATTTCAAAAAACTGCAATTTCATAAGTGAATACCTCATGTATATAAATTTCTCAGTAGGATACGCGCGCCACAAACTAAGTTAATTGTATTGTGCCTATAACCTTCTCGCAATTGCAAGCAATAAGTTGACAAAATTTTACCGCAATCTGTTGAACGGTTTGGCAGCACATAAAATACGAACAAACAAACATTAATTTTTATATATAAGAAGATATCCCTGCAGCTTAATATTGTTAAAAATATAAATAATATGAGCGCTTTCTAACTTTCAGTAGTTGCACAGACATAATTTAGTTGCCAGGATTCTACACTGGGAACTCGCTTTGAAATACGGTCTAGTGGATCGAAAACTGCTTTATTATATGTTCTTACTGGAAGCGCTGTGCTGAAAAATGAATGTGCCTGGCTCTACTGGGACCGGGCCGTTATGACAGACAGGAATATTCTTGCGAAAAGGCCTGTCATTGTGCTGACCGGGACCGGACACAGTTAGGGATGTTTTTGGTCGACATTAGGATTCCGTATGACGAGAGCCTCGTGAAAGTCGAAACAGATTAGCAATTAAAATATTTGGAATTGGCACAGGAGGTGACCGACATGTGGAGTAGTCTGCCGACTGAAATTATTTCCGAAGTTGTTTATGTGAACGGATTAATCCTAGTCAACCTTTCGGGTCATTGAGGTGGGACCGTGACCGACGGTACTCCTCGACTCGTCGTCAA